GGTGGGGATATTGCGTTCTTTTCAAGGAGGTTTTGAAGATGTTTTTGTATCAGTTCCTCTGCCATCTTGCTAACTTTTTACCGTAATGCATCCAAAGTAGTGAGCTTGTTTTAGAAGTCTTGTGTCAGGCAGATAATGAGGGCCATCACCTGCAACTGATTGAGGAACTGGTCACACTCAATGTTGGCCTGGAGAGGTTACTGATATTGGAACCAATCCTGCCACTGGATTTACAACTGCCCATTGTCTGCTTCTGTGTCTCTATCAAATGCTGTCTTATAACACCCCTCTAAAGTCCTTTGAATGATTTATGGTAAAGGCGCTGTATGAAAACTTGTAGTTATAGTGTTCCTGCACCTTGTAGGAATATTGGGATGAATAGAAAGATCAGTATAAGGAATCACATTTTTGCTCTTAGGATTACAAACTGCAATGTTAATTTGCACTGCTCAAATACCATAGGGTTTTGCAACTTGAAAAAAAAATCAAGTGGAGCACATGTTTAACTATGTAGGACAATGTTATTTTTCAAAGCAGCAAAGAGAATATTTGCTAAAAATCTGTAGGTGCAGGGCAGCCAGAGACATCCACAGCCTGCCAACTGAAAACCTCTTGCTGTCTCGCTGTCCCTGTCTCGTGCTCTCCCTCTCTCCCTTCGCATAGGTGCAAACCAAGAAACCTTTAATAAAAATATCCTAACAATGAAAGGTCTTCTAGTTCAACTGTTGAAGTCGAGAACAAGCATTGTTTGACCGGCAACAGTGTGTCATTATTGCTGAAATAAAAAAATTGAAACAATTTAACCCTCCATTGAGATATGTACTTTCAATCTTCAAAATTTTGTTGTCTTAGTTTTTTTTCCTCGCCCATAATGTGTATCAAACCCTCTGACTTTTTAAAAATAGAAAGCCTCTGACTTTTTGCTGTCTTAGTCATAAATGAGTGTGTGTGTGTGTGTGTGTGTATATGTATCTGGGATTTTTAAAGGGATATGGTTTAAAACGTGTAGTAGATTAGTAATTCTTTTTGTCTCTGCCCTTTGAAATTGTATTACAATAAATATTTTTTGTTCATGATGAACCTGATCTGAATTTTTTTCTGAATAGCAATCAGTCATATAAATTAGTTATCTTGGCGGCATTTTGCACATTTTATGACGGCTCGTGGGACAGTGGGGTGCAATTATTGTCATACTCTTCCCAGTTAGGTTGGGACATCAAAACATTCTATCTAAGTTCACCTTGTTTCAGAAAAAAACAACAGTGGATATGAGTGTCTCACAGTCTGTTGTAACTTTTTAAAAAAATCGTGCTTACAGGGATCATTGTAATCAATGACTTATTAGTAATGGAATGGTGATAAAGGAATGTGCTCCTTAATGCCTCCGTTTAGTAGCTAGACTATGCAGATCACATTTGACCCTCTTTCTTTGCTGTGTAATTCAACTTGGCCATACATGTTCTTGGATAGGAGACAGGGCAATCAACAAGGATTCCTGCTCTTGATCATTGCTGATGGATTTCTGCTGCCCAGACAAACGTGGATCTAGGCAATGACAGGGCTATTGCTCTGCTGCTGGTTTGCCCGGCACTTCCTGAATGCTTGCACGTGAATAATTCATTGCATTTAACTGTTTCAGATAGTACCCGATATCTGGAAAGCGTACCCAAGCACAGAGTTGAGGATTCTTGGCAGAATAGAGAGGAAAAGGGAATCATCCACCAGATTTTTTTTTCTTGAAAAACAGATGAAAGTCACTTGCTCGGTGGAAAGTTGGAACAGTTTAGAAGCACAGAATTCCACATATTCAGTGTCCTAAAATATGACAATTCTGCAGTGTGCAATCATATAGTGACTAATATTCTCTAACCTATTGATAAGGTTTGGAATAAAACAGGAAATGCAGCAACACGCTCATTTTGGATGATATTGATTTCTTGATCGCTTTGATTTTGTTTCAGATTGTCAGCATGTGCAATAATATGTTGCATTTTTATGCAGAATTTGGACATAATTGTCTTACTTTCAGTCCAATTTTGGGCAGCAGGTGCAGTACCAGATTTTGCCACTAGGTATCTCTGCATTTTGTCAAATACTGTCAGCATTTATGCTAAATTTCTATACCTTAGGCGAACAAAACATTTACCTCCTGTTGCACAGGGTTAGATCCTGAGATGCAGCATTCTGTAGCAAGCATTCTTTACAAGAATGTTTTTATTAATGGGCAAACAAAACTTGAGCCTTATTTCCTGAAATGGAGAAGGCCCATCTGCACCATTACTTCATGTTAAACTGGGCAAGAGGACGTGTGTTCAAACTAGTGACGGATACTTTGAACTGATTTCTGGAGATTCTTCCCTCAGAGTGTTGTCATTACGTAGGCTAGAATTCCAGGAAGGATAAGTGAAACAAAATTGCAGAATCTTTTCAAAAATTGTTGACTGCTGAATGAGCTTCCATCGGATTGATGATATAAAATAAGCAATACACTTCTTTATTCTCAATTATCTTGTTATTGTATTGTTCCCCTAATCTTAGAGAGAAATGTCTTTATCCATTCCTGTGGAGAGCCTTGTCCCTATTTATGAAATTAGTTTACAATGTACACCAATGTCTGTTGCAAAACTCAGACAGGGGAAATTAGAAGATGAATGCAATACAGATTACAAGGGCAAAAAAATGCAGTTTTATCAGCTGACGGAAGGAGATATGATACAATTAGCAAAAAAAGCTATGTACTGAGGTAATGACTTACTAAATTTGGGGTAGTGACGTAGGAGTACTGTTAATGGAAGTACCTGTATAATAGGAGTGTGGTTATAGTCTTTAAAGGATGTGGGCATTGCTGGCTAGTCCACCATTTATGGTACATTCCTAATTGTCCTTTAAGACGTGCATGTGAGTTGTCTTCTCGAGCCATTGTTACCCTCTAAGGACTCCAGTGTTGCATATGGGGAGTTCCAGGATTTTCACCACTGAGGGAATGGCAGTATATTTCCAAGTCTGGTTTGGCGGGGAAATTGCAGATAGTGGCATTCTTTTGTATCTGTTGCCCTTGTACTCCTAGATGGTAGAGGTCATCAGTTTAGAAGTCGCTGTTAAAGGGGCCTTGGTGATTTGCTGCAGTGCATCTTGTAGATGGTACACACTACTGCGGCTTGTGCATTGATGGCGAAGGTTGTGAATAGGATGTTGATGAAGTGGTAGGAAGAAAATGACAAATACTAAAGACCTGAATTAATAGTAGAGATCAGCCACTGCTTGAATAGAGAAAGGACAGGATAACAGTTGGGCATCTTGTCTTCCTCCGATTGGAATAAAAAGACCTGTCCAAACGTTAATCTGTCTTCTTTTGTACCAGATGCTTGGCTGTTTGGAGGAGAGGTGAGCTGATGAGGGTGCAGTTTCATTGTAAAGGGTTGAAGTAGAACAGAGAGACTTAGGGGTTCAGGAACATAATACTTTGACAGTTGCATCGCAGGTAGACTGTGGTTAAATGGTTACACTTATCACACTTGGCTTCATTGCTCAGACCTTTGAATATAGGAGTTAGGACGTCATGTTGAGATTGCACAGGATGTTGGTGAGGCCTCTCCTGGAATACTGTGTGCAGTGCTGGTCACCCTGCTATAGGAAAAATCTTATTAAAGTGGACAAGGTTCAGAAAAGATTTACCAGGATGTTGCCAAGAATGAGGAGTTTATGTTATAAAATAAGCTGGATAGGCTGGGACTTCTTTCTCTGATGCTTTAAGAAGTTGAGGGGTGACCTTTTAGAGGTTTATAAAGTCATGAGGGATATAGATAAGGTGATTATCAAAGATCTTTTCCCTAAGGTAGGAGAGTTTAAAACTAAGGGGCATATTTTAAAGATTGTAGTGATTTGTAACCAGGTTAGCCAGGTGGACCTCGATGAATATGAACCAGGTTAACAGCCCCAGTCAAGGAACTCAATCAGGGAGTCCTGGCTGGCAGGGATAAACAGGAGCGTCAGAGGTTCTGCTCACTGAGAGCTGGCCCTGAGGAAGCTGAAGTAGTGTCAAGTGTTATGCATGTGTAAATGGTGACTTGATAACTAGATACAGGTTCTGCTATAACGTGTGTTTTGTTAACGTGAATTGGCTGTAATGCGATTAATGAATAGTGGATGCTGTTTGGATAATGCAAACTTTCTGTTGTACAGGTACAGCGATTTTCTATAGCGATTTACCTATAATGCGATTTTCTATAGTGCGAAGTCGCACAAGAACGCAACTATGACGTTATAGGAGAACTACCTGTATTGGCCTCTGTAAAATTATTTCAAAGGTGAGAGGATAAAGATTTAAAAAGGACATGAGGGGCAGCCTTTTTACAATGAGAGTGGTTAGTGTGTTGAGCGAACTGCCAGAGAAAGTGGTGGATACAGGTACAGTTACAACATGTAAAAGACATTTGGATAAATACATGGTTTGGAGGGATATGTACAAACGCAGGCAGGTGGGAGTAGTTTAGTTTGGGAACGTGGTCGGCGTGGACTAGTTGGATTGAAGGGTTTCTTTTCCGTGCTGTATGGCTCTTTTGACTCTATGAATATTGAAAACATTCAACATTCCACTGTGAGTAGCAAATGTAGGACACTGCACCCACCATTGCAGCTCTGTATTTTGAAGTCTTTTGAGTTCTACTATATGCACATGTTTTGTAGAAAGGAGTGAAATGAATGAAATAATAATTTATAGTTTAATTTTTGATCTTTTCTAAGTGAAGTATGGGTTGCTGTCTCAGTAACATATTTAGCTGCGGTATATGTGACACTTTTGACATTCTTGGTGTGAACAATAAGGCTGTTGAAATGAGTGTTGCTTGTGTTGGATCAAATTGATTGCAATGTGGTTTTGATTTCTCCTATGTTGGTGTTTTGTTCGTTGCCTCATAAGTGGGGACTTTGTTACTGATAACAGTTGATGCTCCCAGGGCGTAGGTGTGTGTTTATTTTCTTTCAATTCTTATTGTTTATAGCGATCTTTGTCAAAGCTTCCATCGCAGGAGCTCGATAAAGTAACAGTGAACATGGGTTTAGTCCGCCAGGTCAGATTATAAAATGATACCTTGCATCTGTGTGCTTTATCACTATTTCCTGTGTGCTGCACCGCATGTACTGCTGTAGGTCCTGTGTGGTTTGCGACTAACAAGCTGTAAGAAGACAGAACTTTCACAACCTGAAATGATTGTTATTTTACTTTGAACGGTTTTGTCCAATGTGTTAAGTACTAGCCACAAATACCTAGTTAAGAATCCAGATTTGGCTAATTGCATTTCTGACAAGTACATGAAGAACGAGTAATAGCCACAATCTCTGAGCATGTGATCCTGACACGCATAATTGCACGGTGCATGTGTGTTGACATTTCTTGTTTAACTTCTTAACCAAGATAACATAACATGCTTTTTGTTTTACCAGCAAAGAGAAGGTTAGAGTGTATGTGTATTTTAATCATTGACTGTGCTTAACTTGCTTGGTTATTATTTGCTGCTCCGTAAGGCTGCCCACCACGGATGGAAAGACTGGACTTCAGCACGATGGAAACACCAGCAAGATTGGAGCTGTCACTGTGGCAGCTCAATCAATCACTGTACCACTACCCCAGGCCAGCAGGAAAAGCAGAAAGAGCCAATAACTGTTGGCTGTAACAAGCATGGAAAGAAGCATCCAGTCGATGTTCTGTGCAGAGAGGGTGGGGGCATAATGAAGCAGGTTTGGAGAAAGGACAGAACTGTTCTGGGCAAAGAATGGGACTGCCTTTGGGCAGGAAGCGAGTATGGCTCTGGTGCTTCTCATCCTCTGAGTTAACAATCGCTACAATAAAGTCAAAGTAGTCCTTACTACTACTAGACAAACAATGTACGTCTGCTAAATTCATGTCTGAATTCTCCGTCTTGATGCGAAAAGATTGCCAGGTGGTAGATGTTTATTATGTGTTAACTACATCTATTAGTTCAGTGCAAAAAGCATCTACTGGAATTATTGGATGTGACCAGTCACTTTCTGCTTATAACACCATGTTAGGAAAGCACATTTGGAATACTGTAAAGCTAGTGATAACATTGCTTTACATTAGAGTCAAATCACTGCAAGTTATGAAGCTCTAATAAATTCATGTTCATCAAGTTGAGGAATAGTGGAGCTGGGAAGTGGAATGATTAATTGTATACATCAAGCACTTTGTTTTAATCAGATGGAAAACCGTAAATGAATGGGAGTACTTTACTTCATTAACAGTGTCAGGATTTCTCTTTAATGAACCATAATGATATTTTCCTTTCCTGCCACAAAAGTTCATGCGGCCTCTAATGGAGATTCCCAATAGCGTGGCATTGATGTACATGCTAAAAGAATTAGACTGAGTCTAAGGCTACCATAATTTGTTTAATTCAAGACCATTGGACACTGTGATGACGTACTTCTCTGATGTTACTGTTCCCAGCTCCCTGGATTGCTGAATTTTTATTTAATCAGAGGCAGATTGCCTCTGTGGTTAGGATACCACTGACTTGTTTCACTATGTGGGCGTCAACAACAGCCAGCTTTTATATAGTCCCTTTTGATGTCAAAAAATGTCTGAAGCCCCTTCAGATGAGTGTTATTGAACAAAATTTGATTCTGTGCCTCATTTAAAAAATAGTATGACCAGTAACCAACATCTCGGTCAGAGAGGTAGCTTTAAATGGTGAATTGGAGAGAGAAAAGAAGAAATTAGGAAGGGAATTCCTGAGTTTAGGGCTGAAAGCAAGGCTGGAACTGTTGGATGATTTAAAATGAGGGATACAGTTTGAACCACAGTTGGAGGAGTGGATATGTCTTAATGGAGTGTAGGGCTGGAGAAGTGTAAGTATTTGAAAACAAGTGTTGGGATTTCAAAATTGAGTCATTACTGAACCAGAAGCTAGTGTAGGTCACTGAGCATATTGATGGGATTAAAGATAGATATCCAGTCTTTGCAAGTAGGGGTGATGTCTGACAAAGTAAATATGTACCACCACACTGGGTAGTACTTGATTTGTATTAGCTTTCTATTGCTGTGGCAGTTTTCTGAACTTTGATTTTGGAAAGCCATGCAAGTAAAGAAAAATTTGACCTATTCTGTCCTTAGCCAAGTATCAGGTTGGCTTGTTTGACAGGACAGTTAGGCATGAGTCAAATGGCTTCAAGCCCCGTCCTAGAGCTTCAGCAAATATTGACAATTCAGCCTGTGATTGAATGATTTAAGTGCGTTGTTGTTGTAGTTGTCCTTGAAAAGATACGTTAAACTGATGTCAGAGGATTTTTTCCAGCCAGTTTAGTATCCCAGCCAACATTCCTCCCCGATAAGAGCCACCAAGCGTAGATGAGCCGGCCATTTATCTCATTGCTGTTTGTGTGAATTATTGTGAAGAATAAATGCTGCATTTCACAGAATCACAGAATGGTTACGAGCGTGGAAACAAGCCATTTAGCCTGTCATATCTGACCTGGCTGTCTGAAGGAATATTTCACTTCGTACCATTCCCCACATCCCTACATTCTCTTTCTTTTCAGATAATGATCCAGTATCTCTTTGAATCTGAATTTATCAAGACTTTCCATCATGCTGTCGAGCCTCACATACCAGATCCTAACTGTGTGAGAATGTTTACTCTTATGGTGGCACTGCCTTTTCCAATTACTTTAACTCTGTGCCCTCTAGTTCTTGATTTGTCCACCAATGGAAAGATTTTTTAACTATCAACTCAGTCCAAACCCTTAATGATTTTGAATACCTGTATCTAAGCTCCTTTCAACTTTCTCTTAATTTCTCCAGCCTAACTACAGAACTGGTTCCAGGAATGAAGAATTTGATTCTCATAAATTTTTTTTGCATGCTCTCTAATTGTTTCATATTTTTGGTGCCCAGAACCAGACAAAATACTCTAGTTGAGGCTGCACCAGTGCTCTGTATAAGGTTAACATAACTTGCTAAATTCAAGTTGCTGCAGAACATTATCATGTAATATAAGGTGAATCTGCATCCCTTTTAAGGACACAAGATATGATTAGTACTAAGTAAAATGGTGATTAGTAAGGTCATTCAGAGTGACGGTGAAAGTGGACCTTGAAACAAAATGTAAATACTGTTCCCTATTTTCACACATTGTAACAATGGTTTGGGGACTCTGGGATCCTGTGCCTTTTTCACAAGCCTTTATTAAAGGGTTAGTTCAGGCCATTCTTGGCAGCAGATCTGAACAGAACTATCTATGAGGTTCTCAGCCTTTTTTTTTGGACTGGTCATCACCTGCAAAGGAGGAGCCTGTTACACTATCAAGCTTGGGATATTGATAATGTTCAGTCTGCAAAATAATAGCCCCTCTTCTTTTACCGCAGTGTTTCTCTCATTCTGCTGTTTCACTTTTGTTGTTTTCCCTTCCTCTTGTCTCCTTCACTATTTTTGTTTATCATTAGTAAGCAATTCCATTCTTCTTGTGTCGTTCTCCTCTGCTGGTTCTCGCTCACTATTTCAATTATTTCTCACTCTTTGTTTTGCTTCTGTTTTAATCACTATCCTTCCTTTTTTCTTCACTCCTCACTGCTCGCTCTCTCTCTCTATCTCTATGCCCGTCCTCCACTCTGTCTCCCCCCAGCCCCTTTCTTGAGTTGACAGCCCAATGCTGGTCCCTTCAGTTCCTTGGAGTTGATATTTTAGAAGGAACATGGGAAAGGTGATGATCTCGGAATCAGGTGGGAAATCAGATCTTTTGAAACAACAGGGGTAAATTCTTATATATGGGCTGGCTTAGAAAACAACACTTTACATGAAAGTGTCTATATAAATGTAATGAAACGTCCTGAGGGATTTCATAGGCGTGTTTCAAAACACAATATGCCACTATGCCATCAAAGAAGATATTAGGTCAAGTACCTAAAAGCTTGGGCAAAGAGCTTATTTTGAGGAATGTCGCAAAGGAGGAAAGTAAGGTAGAAAAGCACAGAGGCTTGCAGAGTATATTCCATAGGCAACTGAAGATCAGGCCACCAGTAGTAAAGGCCTTTACGATAGGAGCAGAATTAGGCCATTTGGTCTATAGAATCTGCACTGCTGTTCAGTCGTGGTGCATATGTTTCTCAACCCCATTCTCCTCATAACACTTGATTCCCTCACTAATCAAGATTCCAACCATCTGTCTTAAATACACTCAATGATGTGACTTCCGCAGCCTTCTGCGGCAACAGATTCACCACTCCGCCTGAAGAAATTCCTCCTCATCTTAATTCTAAAACATCTCTTCACTCTGAGGCTGTGCCCTTTGGCCCTAGTCTTTCCTACCAATGGAAACGTCTTCTCCACATGCACTGTATCCAGGCCTTTCAGTATTCTGTAAGTTTCAGTAAGATCCGTCCCCTATCCTTCTAAACTCCATCGAGTACAGACCAATAGTCCTCAACCACTCCTCATACGACAAGACCCTCATCCCTAGGATCATTCTTGTAAACCTCCTCTGGATCTCCTCCAGCGTCAGCACATCTTTCCTTAGATATGAAGGCCAAAACTGCTCACAATATTCCAAAAGCATTTGTAATTGGGTATAGGAACATAGGAACAGGAGTAGGGCATTTAGCCCCTCAACCCTATTCCACCATTCAATGAATCATGGCCTAATATGTGGCTTAAATTCCATAAACCTACCTTTGGCGCATATTCCTTCATAGCTTTTGCTTAACAAAAAATGATCTCTGATTTAAAATTAACAACTAATTCCGCTTCCACTGCCATCTGTGGAAGAGAATTCCAAACATCTTCCACCCTTCGTGTGTAGAAATGCTTCCTAACATCTCTCCTGAACAGTCTGGCCCTAATTCGCAGATTATGCCTGTAGTTATAGGATCCCCAACCAGTGGAAATAGTTTATCTATCCTGTCTTTTCCTGTTAATGGTACTCAAGAGGCCAGAGTTGGAGGAGTGCAGATACCTTGGAGGGTTGTGAGACGAGAAGTTATTGAGATAGGGAGGAGCAAGGCAGTGGATGTATTTGAAAACAAGGTTGACTGAATGAGGAGAGATTGTGGAGATTGA